GGAAGCGTTAGGGGGCGCGTAAAGACATCATGACCCCCACCTTTTGCTGCAGGATGAAGGTCTTCTTCCGTCAAGTTCAGTACGACGTTAGCAGTTTCGAGGATGATGACTTTGGATACATCTACAGATTCACGAATCTCGTGAACAACAAGTCGTACATTGGTCAAACTTGGCACCTCAAAAGGCGACTCAGCGAGCATCGTCGTGGTTGCGGCTGTGCCAAACTTCTATGCCAAGCCGTGAAGAAGTATGGCTTAGATGCGTTTTCGATACGAATCTTGTTCAGAACAAGGTCCCAGGAGATGCTTGATCGGGCTGAGATTCTCATTATCGGAATAGCGGGCACCCGTGCTCCATATGGGTACAACATAGCACTCGGTGGTGCGCGTGGCAAGCATAGTGAAGCAACGAAGAAGCTCATCGACTCGTACCACGTAGGCAAGGTGGTGTCAGCGGATGTGAGAGAAAAGCTTCGGCTTGCCAGTACCGGTAGAAAGATAACCGAGGCGACCAGAGTCCGACTGTCTTCATACATGACCGCAAAGTACGCTGCTCTCGATCATCAAGTGTACGTGTTTGATTGTTTTACACACCGAAAGGTCTTTGAGAGCCCCACTCGTTCAGAGGCACTCAAAAGACATCCAGAACTAACCTACACTACTCTACGACGCAGTCTGGTTTCCCCGCACTACAAGTTCAAGTTCGGTGGATCCTGGTGCTATGCGAGGTCCAAGGACAAGCCGGAGGAGGGCATCTTCCACCGGATTGGCAAGCCAGTACGGATAGTCAACCAACACGGTTCAACCCAGCTATTCGCAAACCTGGTGGAAGCTCGCAACCACTTGAACGTGAAGAGAGGTGTAATCGAAGGTTGCATACAGCGTCAGTCTCTGAGTTCCTACACGCTCAATGGTGAGAAGGTGACATTTCGAGCAGCATTCGTGACAAACTGAGACACTTGTGCCAGATCGCGAACTTGGAGTCACTGTGGAGGAGCTCCTCAGTGTGCAATATGATTCTGAACGGTTTGTAAGCATAGTTTATCAGGAATCAAACAGCGTGCATTTTGACATGTCCGCGGGCTCAAACACTTTGGGCACGGCTTCGGACGTTTGGGATATCTTGTACGCTGTACGCTAATCTTCTACGCGGTGTGATGATTCTCCACGAAGCTTCTCATAGCCGAACTCAGACTGGTACTTTTGAAGCACGCCTTGTTCGCCTGCGACAAAAGTCCCACAAGCAGGAAGGATTATATGAGGACTTGGATGATGCGTTTCAAACCTTCAGTGTAAAGTTTGATTTATTAATAAAGCTACGTTGCAAGGGAGATGGTTTACACACTCTGTGAAGGAATGTCCGCAAGGTACGTCTTGATCTCTTGCATGAACAACAATTCTAAAGACTACATTACCTTTGCTCATGTACCTGCTTTGCAACTTGAACAAACCCACCCATTGATAACCACTTTAGGTATGGGGAGGACTGTGGATGAAGCATGTCAAAAGGATGGAACTGGTCTTAAAAAATAGGCAGTCTAGGCTACAAAAGACGGAATGGCCACAATCACACGCATGCAATGAAGACGATGCCAAGGCACATTATCAGGGAGCGCGAAACTTGGGAACCAACCTGCTGGTCATTCGTCCTTCACAAACTGCAAGTACGCCGGAATCTTGAAGGTAAAGCCACTTCCGCTCACATATGTTGTTGCAATGATGCCTTTCACAGCTGGGAAGGTACGTCTGACAGAGGCGGGAGGAATGTGCTGCTTGCAAATCAGATTTTCTAAATATGAGGAAGCATGAGTCCTAAAATCCTGATCGAACGTGACTTCCAGAGAGCGCACAGGGTCCATTTGACTACGGAAAACAAATCTGAGATATGGAAGTAGACTGGATTCCATGATTTGTGGCACGAGGGCGCCGGATTGTACTTTGATTGTTGCCAAGCGGCCCTCAATTCGCGTGTGCGTGCATATAATGGTGGAGCACATAGCCTAAGAGCCCTTGCAACTGGAGGAAAAACCCTGAAAACCACGGGACGCTGTATTTCTCTGCTGTACCCATTTGAAACGCACCTACTATGCAAAAAACAAGCATGCACTCATAAGGAAAGTTTCGCGCAATGCGGACAATATGGAACGCAAATGCCCTCATTGTTCGTTGCCTAGAAGATCACGCTGTCCGCTGGTGGAACGAAACGTGTTGCTCTCTTGCAGAAATGCTCCAAGGAGAACAAAAGCGATGGGATCATGCTGACGGTGCGAATGGGTCGTTGGATTTTGCTGACAACGCACAAGAGACAGTTGCCGCCACAGCGCTGCTGCGGCCAGCTTTCAGTGTGACTGCGCGTGAGCGCGAGCATAAGATACCTCAATTTGTTTCCCTCAGGCCAGGACAATCCTAGTCAGCCAGTAGCTGCACACCTGGCACGACTCCATGTGACAGCCGATCCGAGATCGTAACTTTCGACGGTCCAAAAGCAGCAGTTACTGTGGTATCGACGGTTGAGGGCCTACAAAGCGCTCAGCCGCCACGTGCGTTTAACTTTAAAGTGTAAAGTTGCTGCTTCGCGTGATTCTACAACATGGTGACTGTGCATTTGGACGTAGCTTTGAGAGAAGGCCCTTCCGGGTGGACTTAAAGCCCGTGCTTTCGAACCTTTGACCATTTTGCAACTGCCTTCGCTCCTTGTGACTCGGAAGATGGCGCCTCTTATGGAGAAGACCCTCAAGGTAGCAGAGATGGCCGTGAATGACCTGGTGAAAGCGCGGCAGGGTAGGAGGGCGCTCTGCGTCGCTGCCAGAGTCGTCAGCAAGCGTGATCCTCGCGACCTGTCTCTGTCGCACAAGGCCAGACTCTGCGTGATGGTTAGTCGGGCGGCTCACGTGCTGAAGGGCAACAGCATGAAGCTAAATCTGACGGTCGGCGATGCGACGTCCTTGGATTGTCTGTTCGCCAGCAATCACCACTTGCTGCTGCACGACATACCGCTTTGGTTTTGTAAGCTCAACGACGAAGCGAATTCCGGCACAAAGGCCCTGGAGAGTTGGCAGGGAGAGTATATAACAGACATAGCGTTTATCGTCTTGAAGCTGCTCCGCAGCCCTAAGTACCTTTTCGCCTTGGAGGACAGCTTGAAGGAGCTGGGTGCCTCTGATGCAGTGCGTCCTATGCTCCAGTACATGCGGCTCTTGGACAGACCGTGGAGCCCTTCCACCGACGAAGAGGGGCGGAATTTCCGGAGGGGAGCGAGAGACATGCTCAACTTCCTGAACACGGGGTACATCTTCTTCCAGACGAAGGATTATGACCTGCCGCTTCACAGGGTGCGCATTGACATGGCGGCCGACATGTACCTGATGTGTGCGGCTTGCTTTGCGACCAAGCCCAAGGGGCTTGCGGGTCCAGACTGGCAGAAGCTGCATCTCTGCAGTCGCTGTAAGACAAGGGCGTATTGCTCGAAGGAGTGTTCGGCGAATGACTGGAAGGAGCATAAGGTAGTGTGCAGAAGAGGGAAGACGGAGAGAGGGGGAAGGGCGTCACTGCGGGTATGGGAGGCGTTGACTAAGGTGGTCGGGTCGGACTGGTGGAAGTCGGTGGATGACATTCTCCTAGACATGACGAAAGAGAGAGGATCCTGACGAACAGTATGATACAGCGTATGTGTAAGATTTGAGGCAGTCTTTTCTTCAAGTTTCCGACTGATGGTATCGTGCTCTCGAGCGAGGGGATGAATGCGATCGATCATTGCGAAGTGTTCAATGCAAGTAGCTTGTTCAGCACGATATATCAACCGTGGCTTCATCTTGCACTGCCCTCCCGAGATAGGTTCTTCAGGCATGGCTCTAGTAAGTAGCACGTTGCGAGTACATTGTAAATTCTATCTCATCGTGGGTATCGTGAATGCTGGCATTAGAGGGCAGTCGGGTGGACCCAAGCTTGTCATTACATAGACTTTGGCAACAATATATACAATGTGATTGAGATAACAATCATTCGCTCATGACGAAGTAGGCAACTACCTCCTACAACGGCTGCAACAATCAACTACGAAGCATGACTAGCAGGCAAGAACAATGCTGGCAATTCAAGATGAAGGTGAGAAAGTTCCAGTCGAAGACAACGAAGACAACGAAGACAGTGAAGACAACAACCAGCAGATTAATCATGTATTTCTAAGGGTCAGCTGCAAAACCAGCGTGCCACTTTTTCATCTCTCTGCAATAGGACTTATGCACATGCCAATCCTCCACATGACACGGCTTGGAACAATACCGCGCGACTTTACAACCGTCGCAGTGTAGCTGTGTGACCTTTCTGCACGTCAAGCACATCCCCATGGCCAAAGAGATGCGAGCTCTGCTGCTCTGCCACGATGTCAGGAACTGGGGATCCAGGAGGCGCTTGTCTACCGCGTCTGTGCTCATCAATCCCTCCTGAATTGCCCTGTGATCTCTAGGCAGCACGATGAAGGTGACGGGGTTGTCGACCGGATCGACTTTCGACCACACCTCGATCCTCACAGGGAACGAGTGCGAGTCGACTGCAGGAACCCTGTACTTGTCGATTGTAACACCACCTGGACATGGGTGACGTTGGAAAGGGACAGGGACACGGGGCCCCTCGCTAGCCTCCTCCTCT